TCCTCCTCCCTCCTCCTCCTCCTCCTGCTCCTCCTCCTCCTCCTCCTGCTCCTCCTGCTCCTGCTCCTCCTCCTCCTCCTGCTCCTCCTCCTCCTCCTCCTCGTCCTTCTCCTCCTCCTCCCTTCCCTCCCCGGTCCGAGCAGGTGGGGTTGGAGGATCGCGCAAGAGTCGCCGCTGCATCGCCGGTGCGGCCCGATGTAGCGCCCGGTCTTCTCCACGCCGCTGGCGCCAAGGCATCCTCGACGTCATCGGTGCATTGCCGATGTGGCGCGATCCTCCAACCCCATGTGCTCGGACCCCACGTGGGAGTCCAGGAGGCCTCTATAGAGGGGGCAGGTCGTCTCAGAAGTCGGCGGGGCTTCTCAGAAGCCCTCGCGCCTTCTCAGAAGTCTTCTGCGCCGTCTCTGAAGACAGGGCTCGAGCTAAATAGTATTTGGGCGATTTTCGTGGGCCGTTTTCGTTTTGATTTCGTTTCGCGGCAAAGGTAGGACGAAGACAGAGCGAAGGAAACCATATACACAACGAAAACGAAACACACTGTTTAGCCCGAGTCCTGTCTGGAGACAGGGACTTCTGGGAAGGCGCGAGGGCTTATGAGAAGCTGCGCCGCTGTTTTTTGGAAGGCTCACCCCCTCTCACTTCCCCCCTGTGCTCGCCGCCGAATTGAGGAACAACAAATGACACGAACGTGCACTCTCGAAGGCCCGCGCGAATTTCTCGGATCGGCACTGGAGCCTCCTGGCGGCGCCTCTGGCGCCACTCCTGGCGCGCTCCGTGCGCCACGGAGGCGAGTGTCCAGCGTCGATCCGAGAAATCCGCGCGCAGGTCCACCAGTTCATGCTTTTGTTGCACATGCTTGCTCCTCTAGGTGCAGAGCACGCCGCCCCCGGTGCGGAGCATGTCTCCGGCGCCGCAATCGTGGGGGGGGGGGGTCAAGGCGCAAGAGGGGATGCATCTGCAGTTTCGCACATCTTCCGACGTTCTCGTGCTTGTCGGACGTTTTTCTGAGGCTCTCGTCGGTATCCGGTGCCTTTTGCAGCCTCGGGAAGCTTTCCAGCGTCCAGCGGCGGCGCCTCGACGAGGTCGTTCCAGGGGTGCCTGGATCGTCCCGCACGGGGCGGCTGCAAGCTTTGAGGTATGATCCGCAAATCACCGGAGGATGTGCTCAAGGGGTATGCTCAGAGGAGGGGACCGCCATGATGAGGCAACCCCGGATTTCCGACGACGTGGTTTTGCTTCATCGGGGCGTGCTTTCCTCGATCTGGGCTCCTGGGTCTCGTGCCTGGCCCCGGGACTATCCAAAATGGATCCGGGGTGAGAAACTAGCCCCTAGCCTTAGGTCGGGCATGTACCCCTACAGGCGGATTTTGGGCGAAAAATGAAACAGACCCCCCAAGTACAAACAACAACAACAAAGAAACAAACATTATCATTTTCAAACATTGTCTCTATATGTTTTTCCATATTTTAGAATTTTCCTCGTGTAGAGGGACAGACCCGATTTAAGCCCAGCCCCAGGGAAGGGATCGCTATTCGACCACGCCCACCCCGACTTCCTCTCGCTGCGAGCAGTACCTTGGCATCGCTCGGACGTGTGCATTTTCCCTTCGGCGAGGACCATCGAGGAGCATCCTTGATCATTTGGCGAAATAACCACGCACGAAACCAAAAACAAAACACAGGGGATGGACGTCCGAGCGATGGCCAGGTACCGCGCCTTGCCTTCCTCGGGCCTCCGGGGGGGCCCTCGCCGGGTCCCGGGCGGTCAAAAAAACAATTCGGGATCAAAGACGCGGGTCCTGGGGTAGGGGTCTAGACTTAAGTCGGGCCTGTCCCTCTACAGGAGGGGTGTTCAAAAATAGTCAAAACATCTGGGGACGATTGTTTATAATAGTTTCTTAATTTTTGCATTTTTCGCCCAATATCCCCCTGTAGGGGGACAGGCCCGACCGAAGTCTCGACCTCTGGGAGCCCACTTTGGGAAGAACACACGTTGTCGGAGATCTGGGTTCGACAAATTCGTGTGTTGCTGAGCCATGAAGCAAACGGGTGCTGAGAGAGACAGGTGCTGGGACTCCTCGCCGTTCATGGCCTGCCCGGGCCTTCGCTGGGCCCTGGGCGAGTCAACGACACGACTCGGGATGAGAGCCTGACCCCAAGAAAAAGCCCCGCTGTGCATGGCCCGTCCCCCATACAGCCTGGAACATTCTCCCCAAATCCCGATGTTTGGCATCACCCGATCTCGATCACGATCCCAAAGACTCCCTCCGTTCCTGAGGGCGCATGCCTAATATTGCCACCGCCTTTGGGCTTGTGAATATTCGGGACAGGATTAAGCTTAAGTCGGGCCTGTCACTCTACACGAGGAATGTTCAAACATAGATAAAAATAGTCTGGGGACGATTTGTCTCGTGGGGGTATGTATTGACTATGTTTTATTTTTCGTCCAAAATCCGCCTGTAGGGGGACACGCCAGACCTTAGGCTAAGCTGGAGGCTGGTTCGGCGGACACTTTTTTTTTACGCCAAGGGCTGGAAGCGAGAGCCCGCTCCTCTTCTGCCCCTCCTCGCCCTGCCTCCCGCGTGCGCCCGCGGGGACTACAGCATGGGGCGCTGAAGAAGGAACCCTTTTCGTTGGGGAGGGGCTCGGTGTTCCTTAACTGTTCCACGCCTTGCCTAAGGTTTTCCTTGAGTTTTCGATTGGAAGTTGAAGTTCAGCTTATGAAAAAAGGGGCCTCGTTCCCTATTCAAATCGGTTCGCTCATTCCGTCGGCCCATATTGTAGCATCGCTCATCGCTGGCACTCGCTTGCGTGCTTGGGGGGGCATTTGGGAGGCCTCCTGGGGACGCTTGGGGGCCTCTTGGGGGCCTCTTGGGTGCCTCTTGGAGCCTCTTGGGAGCCTTTCGGGGGCCTCTTGGGGGCTCCTGGGGGCCTCTCGGGGCCGAGGGCTCGAAATATGCGTGCGGGCCTCCCGTCTGGACCCCCTTTTGAAGCCGTCTTGGGGTCCTTTGGGACTGTCTTGGAGGCCTCTTGGGTCGTCTTGGGGCCCTCTGGGGGCGGTTTTTGGGCCCTCTTGGGAGCCTCTTGGGCCGTCTTGGGGCGACCTTGGGGGCCTTTTGGGCCGCTTTTGACGCTGTGAAAGCTCAAGTGGCGTATATGTTAAAAAATATTAGCTTTTCTTGCGGAATGGGACGATGTTTGCTTCTTGGGACCTCTTGAGACGCCTCTTGGGGGCCTGTCTGGGCGTCTGGGAGCCATCTTGGGCGTCTTGAAGCGAGCGTATGGCATCTCGGAGCACTCTTGAGCCATTTTGGGGGGCTCTTGGCGGCTTCGCGGCCCTTCTTGGGGCTCTCTGGAGGGCCTCGAGGGCGGCTCCCAGGAGGAAAACCATCTCTGAATCGGACCGCCCAGGACCTGCCCGGGACTTTGCCGGGGTACTTTTCGTCCAGGGACCCCAGGGGCCGCCCCGCGCGCGCGAAGTAGAACTATTGTTTTCTTCTTACTGAAGATCTTAGCACGCCTCTGGCCCGTTGGGCCAGCGAATTTAGGGTTCCTTAGGTCAACGCCTCGACTGTATTCGGCCGGCGTGGATCGAGTGGGAGATGCTGCGGTTAGCGCTTTTTGGGGAGAGCGCGCGCCCGTTTCTGGTGGAGGAACAGGCACCGACTTCGCTACCCTTGCCTCGCTTTCGCCTTCTTGGGCCTCCTGGGAGGCCCTCGTCGCCACCGCTAGATTCGCCTCGAAGCCCTGGCCAGAACACACACCCAGGGAGAGGTCCGGGGAGCAGCGGCATCGTCACCGATGGGTCTCCCCAGCTCCAGGGGGGGCGCGCCCCTTGCGGCAAGATCTGGTGCCTCAGGGGGGCCCGAAACGCTTGCGTTCCCCGCCCTCGCCTCGTCTGTGCGCACAGCGCCCTGCGTCGAGAGGCTGGGCCCGCGCCCACGTGGGGCCTGACCGTGAGTGTCTTCTCTTCCGTGCGTGCAGGTGCGCAGTTGCGTAGCTCTGCCGCGTCCTTCGTGCTGCTGCTGCATGGCGCTACGATTGGGCGTCGCGTAATGGGTGGCGGTCGCCCGTCGTTCTGTTTGTTTTTCCCGCGATTCCTTTGCCGAATTCGTCTCTGCGTAGCCCGCTTTGACCTGACACGCCTTCTGCGCGCTCGCCCGCGGCCGCTGACTAAAAAAGTAATGGGTGGCGATAAATGGGGGGAAGAGCGACGGCCATGGGACCCGAGAAGTGCACCTTTCCCCCCCCCCCGCCCATGTATCGCGCCCCCCCCCTCTCGTTCACGCCCGAGTCGTGCCTTCACGTCGCCGCTGGCAGCAAAGCAGCATGGCACACGACAGTGACCTTCCAGAACACAGCAGGCGGTCGCTTGAGCGCATGCATCACAACATCGGATGACGTGGCTTCATTTTGTTGGGGCGGGCATCACGGGATGGGGAGCTGTTGCGGCGGAGGCTCTTCTCATGGGAAGCGCAGCGTCTTGGAATATCGGGAAGGACCAGCAGGTGCGATTGCCGTTCGCCCCCCCCGCTTGGTTCCCAGAGGAGAGTTAGCAGAGCGAAAGACCACCAGTCTTGAGCGAAACGCATCCGCATCCGCTGCCTTCAGGAGGGGAAGGAACACACAGACACAATGAATCGTCGACCCCCAGGAGAATGTAGGAAAATATGGGAAGTGGCGGCGAAGACAAAAACCTAAAACATATGGGGAATCCTGTTATTTGTGTGTATCTATTTGTGTGTCCCTGGGCCCCCTTCGTGCCTCGCGGGCCAGGACCGTGGGCCGCCACCCCGCGGATACGGCGCGCTCTGTGGTGGACGCCCCGCGCGGAACTCACCCGTGCGGCCGCGTATCCGCGGGATCGCGCCACGGAATCCAGACCGCGAGGGCGCGGATGCGGTTTTGTTCGCTGCGCGGGCACGTTCGTGGCCGACTTCGCTGGCGCCGACGACGACAAGGACGGCACCCCTCTGACCGAGGAACAGAAGCAGGAGAGGGCTTTGAGAGCCATGAGGGAGGAGGTGTCGGTGCACGTCGAGAAGGCGGAGTACGACGCCCAGGGGCGGTTGTTGAAACAGCACAATTAAGAACGCCATCCGGGCTCGCCCTCCCCTTCGGGGCGGGCGAGACGCGGGGGGGGGGGGCATCGGGGGCGGCACGCTAGCCAGCCTCGAATTTACCCTTATCCCTAAGATTGGCAAGCCGAAAAGGCGATAACACTTTTAGGGATGCACCCTCGAAGCCTAAGGGGATCCTTCAGATCGGCATAGAGATGGGGCGATGTCCAACATAGGGACAGGGATCTGTTTCAAACTGGTGAGCGCGCGGTCAGGAACGGCTGGTTGGCGCGTCGCGTCGCGGGCTCTGGCCCACCACGCTTCGGCGGCGCGCGCCGCTGAGCACGCGCCAGTTTCTGATCAGCGCCAGCGCCCCCGAGCTCTGCCCAGCCCCACGCCCCGTGAAGCACAGCGGCACGCCGTCGCAGCCTGAAAGGCCTGGCGCGTCGCAGGGGCCGTTGCGAGACGCGGGGCAACAGTTCAGCCGGGCGTGTCCTCTACAGGGGGAAAATTCAGCAATAATCCGGAAATAACAGTTACGTCGGTCGTGTCCCTCTACAGGGGGGATATTCAAAAATAGTCGGGAACTAGTCTGGGGGCGATCTTTCGCTTATGTTTGAGTTTTTTTTGGCTACTATACTTAATGTTTCCTCCAAGTTCCGCCTGTAGGAGGACATGCCCGACCTAGAGCAGCAGCTCTTTGCCGTAGCGAATGGTTTGGTGCGGCTGGGTGGGCAGGCCGGAGATGTACCCCGGTGCAACGTCAAGGGGTGGAGGGGTTCGGGGGCGGACGCTCCGACCCCCACTCGCCCACTGATCGCCGACACTGGCCCGGCAGCCCATCCCGACCGGGGCCGT